TTTACTAGTCGTTGTAACAAATAGTGTCACCAGTGGCATATCAAAAATTAGGGATCGGTTTCAGTAGCCACAAAAAATAGATTTTTTTAAACGTACCTCAAATGATTTGATAAAATAAATAACGATTAGTTAATGCAGTGCCGTATAATCTGATCAACGTCATGATTTGCAGTTTTCTGATATGTATATGAAAATCAATGATGTATAACAACCTGCAGCAAAAATAAAATCCTAATGAATAGAGATAATTATAGTATTTAGATATAGTATAAATTAGGTTCTAAGTGATTTAGTAGCTGAGTAAATGAAATGAATAGAAATGTGATAATTAGATTAATTTTTTTTTTTTTGAGAATCGACATTAAAAATGTAAATATTGTGTATGTGTTGAGTGTGTTCATTAGTGGTTGTCTGAAACGGATTTGAACATTTCTCAAGTATTTTCCAATCAATTAGCGTTGTTTAATAAAGAATCACTCTCGTTTAGAAAGCAATTGATTGTTGATCGTTTTTAATTTCTTATAATGGTTAGCGTTCCATCCATTTGTACTAATTAGACATTTGTAAAAATGTCTAAATGCGAACTCGTAACCTAAATTTCCGCTTTGAAGACATCAATTCGAATAAAGCAATCTGTTGTTTTAGGAAAAATGATTGATATATAGAATAATTATGGCAAATTTCACACCTTTCCATCATCATCACAACACAAGAATTTATAATGGATTAAGCTAATAAAATTCCACAACATTATGAACCATTATTTTGATTTTTGGCCCTAGAGCCACAGCTGATGATGATGAAAATTAGAGACCACCAAGCGGCGCGTTTATGTCCAGCGCGCGATTCCCTCAGCAACGATCTGTTTCTTTCACCATAAAAATGATAGGTGTGCATGACTTAAACACGGCACTCAAGTCGTAAAAGGAAGTAGAATTGACCTTGATCGAGGTTACTGCAGTGACCTGGAGCTGCACTTTGCCTACTTATCGCCAACTGACATATATGTTACCCATTTTATTTTCTTCGCCCGCTTTAGCACAAAAGCGCCGTCCATCACTCATTAAAAAAATATTCAAAACTTGTTCCACTGTGGAGACTAGACCTTTGTGTCGCGAAATTACCGTTAGCGGCGATTTTTTTTTCAGGGAACCTACTTGCGAGCGTCAAGAATTCCGAATTTAATCCCAATCGAAACTACTGAACTATAAATTAAGCTTTCTTTAACTGGTGCAGATCAAGCAATTATTAGCCTACTTGTTGACTGAGAAAAACAATAAAGAGACCACTTTTTCTAATTTAACAGCAAAAGGTAATTAAAAGGCATACTTGGGTGGTCTTCTGAATTTCTCTGTTTTCAACAGCAAAACTGTCAAATTTATTCTTTTAGAGTAATAGACGATTAATTAATTAATAGGCGTAAGGCAGTGGGTCTAATAAAAACTGAGCAAACACGATAAAGCATAAAATATCGTTAACAGCTTGTCAACCCACGCACTGGAATTAAAATTTATGTTTTCAATTTCATCTCAAGACAAAAAGGATGACTTATTGTTGGCACCCGCGAAAAAATCACTTTGCATGTCACTGACAATTTGAAAAACCGGTCAATGTCTTTCAAGGGTGTTTGTTCGGGACGGATGAATTTCGATTAGTGGGTCAGCTAAATGAAGACTTTCTACACTGCCATCCTACATCAATCATTTAATGAGACGTTGTAGTTCGAAATCGCACGCTGTATTAGATTCGATACATATTATCTAAGGAAATTTGCTTCGATCTTCATGCTTCTCGAACTAGATCGACTTCAAGTCTGTAACCTTAAAACGTCAAAATAAATTGTTCGAACGTAACGTTCTCTGAGGATTCCGTCGTGACTTTGTACAGACTTATTCCTATTTTAGCACTTTTACTCGTAAATCCACTCAAGAAAACGGTTTATAATTTTCTCGCTAGTTCAATCCGAATATGCATCAATCATGATTAAATTCTCATTGCGGCTTTATTAATATAAAAGCATTATCAACAAAATGAAAAAGCATCGTTAAAGTCATGCACACCAATGACGCCATAAAATTGTAAAGTGTGACTAGCTGACGTTTATTCTTGTGCAGGGAAAATGATATAAAGCCAGCATAAACTTCATCTGCATTAAAACCTTTTGTCATTCGTGATAAATGGTAATTGGGATTTGCAATTGCAGAGCTAATACTTATTAAAAATAAAATTAGAAGTATAAGTAGAACTTGAGCGATGATTCCAAAAAAAAATATAAGGCATCTTAATAGAACCTGTTTTTAACAATCTGATTGTTCACTGTTTCTAAAGAAATATTATCCCAATTTAGATGAAGCTTGTTGAGTGTCTTGACATGTTTCTAGACGACCTCAAAAACAAATTATGTATTAAAAAAATTATAACAATATTGTAACAAGACTAGATTTATATAATGTTGAAATTATCTTTTTAATGTTTTTTTTATAACAAACATATATTTTTCTGACAAATATAGTCGCAGAACTTAATTAAACCTCCTTTTGTAGAGAGCTAAATAGGTATTTTTAAATGTTGATATGTATTTTCAGTACTTGTCTTGCAAATTACAAGAAAGATCTTGATGGATTCGCTAATCTACTCATATAAATTACAGAAATAATTATAACATGTTAACTTTAGAACATAAAAAATGTTGAAAACTAACATTACACCTAAAGCAAAAAACAAATTAAATTACAAAAACCCACATATATTTTTTGCATCTAGATTAAGCAGACAACTTCATTATAAACTTGTTTAACTCTTGTTATTCAATTTACTATACTAATTTACTTAATTAAATTTGTGCATGGGTGCTGTAGAAAAAAGTACAAGCCAAATACCAAAGCCTTTTTAACAAATACATACATACATAGTTCAAAGATGTTAGTTTTGAAGTCAAATATGAGAACAAATCTCATGTGGTTGATGGAAAAACTAAGTTTTATGGCTTTAATTTTTTGTAACATTAATTCTAATCTCTGGAGAGCCACTCCAAGAAAAAAGCTACTGAAATACTGTGTTGATACAGCCGCCACAAGAGTCGTGTGAAAAATAATACCCCAGGTGTGCTGTTTCAGAAACAAACGCATTCATATCATTTAATTTTAATCAGTAACAATTACTCTTAATTGTTATTTTTTTTGGTTTGAATTATATTCAACAATAGAAAGCCAAGTTATAATAGAACTTTAGAACTAATATAATATTTGCACCTAAATTCGAAATTCAAATTCCAGTGAGCAAATTTACTTAGAATCCCATTTCTATACATATTCATTCATTTCGGTTTTCGCTGCAATTATGTTTACATAAAATTACTTGGTTTAAGTACTATCAGAACTAACTTGGAGTTTAATATAACTTGTTCAACACATGTATTCCAAATGAACAAATGTGTGCTCTACCTACTGGGAGTAAACATATTGATCGATTTCTACTTTATAAGAAATGACGTCTCATTTTTAATATCGATTTTAATTTTGGGTAAAACCACTTGATTGATTTGAAATGCGTCTACCGGAAACGTAAAGAAGTATTTACGATTTATTACTTTCATTATATTTCCGTCTAAGATTTATGCGAGATGTTTAAATTAATTTGTAGAAAATTTATTTTATTTGCTTTGCGTACAGATGTTCTAAGTTCTTTGTAATTAAGTTAAAGATATTCATAAATACAATTCATTTGGTTTCATGTACGGCTGCATACTTGTTTGCGCAAATTACGCTGACCATAATATTCTAAATCTAATGAATTAATTAAGATTTTTTTACATAATTGTTAAGTACAGTAATTAACAATTGCAGTGGTACTTTTAGTAACATAGCATAACACGAAATCCCATACCACGACACGTAATTACTTTGATTTCTCGTTTTAAAGAATTCTTTTGACCATATTGACCCAGGTGTCAATCATACGATAAAAAATAGTCGATTTCGCAGACCCAGAATCGGTAATTACCAGGGCAATTTAAAAAATCCATTTGTAAAAATGCATCTGCACTGCCGTAAATTGGTTTGGTGTCGACTTTTTTGTCTGATGACTGGCCTGGAATTTGCAGCAAGCAATTTGTAGATGTAATGAAAAATTTTGACTGGTTTGGCCTGGGCCATTGCTCAAAACCTAATTAAAAAATTTTAATGTAACGAATTGGAGAGCAATCGCACGCACCATCCTCTTGGCCAAGATAATTAAGCAAATTTCCACGTCTCTGTTCAACGACACTCAATGCTAACACGGTTTTCGATGAAGAACAAATAATAGATAATGTAAAGCTTAACCCATATTTTAGCGATCCATTCCTATTATACTTCCTCGAGTTTCGTCCCAGATCACGTACGAGCCAGTTCCTCCTCTTTCTTTCCAGCAGTTCACACAATTACATGACGAAATGTGCATGTTTCGATCTTGAAATGTGCGTGTTGCAGCAACAAAACTTGTGATAAATGCGGAAATGGGCACTGAACGTTGTAAGGTGTTCCATGCGCACAAAAACTAATTGGCGAAGTAGCAAAACTAATTGTTGTGGAGATGGTTAATTGCTTGCCGTTCAAGAATTCTACAGGAATTCTACAAATTTCTTCGGAGACAGGCAACGGTTCTTTGATTTGTTTTGTTGAAAAAGTTGGGATTCATTTTTTGTCTCAGCAGATGCAATTGCCTTCCATAATTTAGACTGCTGCAATATTCGATAATAAACTTAGACAGTCATAAAATTTGTTCGAAAACTCGCTATAAACGCTTGTTGCCAGTTTTTGGCTGTAAATATAATTTAGTAAACGGTACATTAGCTTGAAATTGTCCATTGTTATAACGAATAGATTTAGAATTTTTCTATTCCACTACCTCTATATTCAAACTCGAAAATAGAAGTGCTCCACAAAAATAAATACACGGCAAAAATTTTATTGATATAAACTTCATTACATAATACAAATAATGAATTATAAATTTACAAACTTCAAAATTCCAACTTGTGCATTATGTTTCTTTCTATAACTGTGACTACAATAACACATTACGATTTAACTAAGTTCCTATCGTACTAAACATATTTCATAAATTTGTTAACAATAAATGCCGGAAACAAAATAAAGCAATTCAAATTTGAATGGAAAAAATTAAAACGTAAACTACATTGTCTAATAATTTTACCCGGTTGTCCGAACATGAAAATTAAGCTAATGGAATGAATCATTCTAATCTGAGATTGTAATAATGGATTCCATTATGCTAACACCTAAACTAAATCAACACTTACCGAATAAATTATACAACAACAAAAAAGAGAGATTGGCACTTATTATAAGAGAAACAAAGATATCTTAGCTGCTAAACATTTAAACGACATACTTTTAAAAATGGAAGATACCACACTGTTTGAAAATTCAAAAGACACGTATAATATATTTATTTGTATGTACTATTTAGTAACGAATACTGATTATATTAATGCGTTATTTTAATCAACATATAAAGGGATATGGAATATATGTTTGTTCAAAATTCAGTCCTTCTAATGCTTTTGTCCTCTAACCAAGCCTATACAAAGGCACAAATAAAATTGGTCAAATTTTCTAAAATTTATTTTGATTTTAAATAATTGAGCTATCTGATTCGGCAATGAAATTTTGATCAATGTATAAAAATATTTTCGTATATGAAACAAGTCCAAGTTACAATTACCATGCAAATTTATTTGTGGTTTAGTGCGCAAAGGGTTAAAGTTTTACAATGAAATATAAATCGAATTTATTCACATTTACATATTTCTCATTAAATATCATAATCAAATTTGTTAAGACAAAAATACTTTTATACATGGCCTGAAACAAAAATTACATCTAATACTGAATTTACATTCATAATTATTTCCAACTCCGTAAAAATATTCTATATACATTGTTAGGTACAGACCGATCCAAAATGAGCAAATGGTACATGCGTGATGTAGCAATATGATATATTACATAGCTGCTATAAAGTTTGATATGAACTGATTCCAGCCATGCTCACTCGCACTCTCTTCGTAATAAAACAATGTATTTTGGACCAGACTGTATACGTTATCTTGTTCATTTGCATCTAAATGTTAACACCCTGTGTTAAACAAAACTGAATTGTCATTACGAACTAATAAATTCTCGCATTTTAAAGCTTCACCTTGCTCAGTAAAGTACAAATTCAAAAATTTTACTTTAATTAATAGTTTACACTTTCTACAAATATTTTACACCTATCTACCTAATTACTTGCTACAGTATGGACCCAGTTTGATTAATTCCGCAAATCATCAAAAAAATGACAAGGACAAACGACTAAAATAAAGATTTTACTCCAAACTCCGGGACTTTAAGTCACAGTTTGGCCATACTATTTTTGGTGTTTGCTTGCGTGGACCCACTAAAATGTTTCGGGCGTCAGAACTTAGATTCGATATGTTTTGGAAAATGTTAGTGTTAGAGACAGTTAAAATGAAATGTATGATTTTATAAAACAAGTATATTTTACATTAATATAAATATAAAATAATGACTTAGAAATAGGTATAAGTATGGTCAAAAAATGTATAAAAATTGTGCATCTAAAACTAATCTCAACTAATCTCGAAAAAAATCACAATTGGAATTGTACTTTCAGCACGTGGACTTAACTAAAAGAGAATTACAAGACGTGCAAATTTTCACAAGATTTGGATTTGCTGTCCCTCGCCCATACTTTCCCCAACAAATTTCGGACTTTTAAACTGGCTGAGGTGCGAGAGCCTCTGTACTTCTTCGGCGAATTGGCGGCACTTCCCGTCGGCGTTCCCGTACCAGAAACCGGCGATCTGTTCCTATTTAAATTCTTCTTCGACGAGCTTCTTTTGCGGAACAGATCCCTTGATCTCTCTGGGTTCTCCAATTTTAAGCGGATTTGAGTGAGGATTCCTACCAGCAACTCGTCTACGTTGTGATTGATGCCTACAGATGTCTCTATGTACTTGCAATCGTAAGCTGTTGCCATCGATTTTCCCTCTGAAATAGATATCCACGATAGGATCAATCATTATCATTTATCGGTAGGTTTGATAAGCCGCTATTGAGCATACGAGTAATTAATTTTAAATATGAGTAGGCGGAAAGTGTATGAAACCTGCTCGAAATGCGCTAAAGTTTTGGCATCTAACTATTTATTCAAAACAAACTTGCAAAATTGAATTTTCGATCAACACAAACCCTCTGACAAATTACTATGTCATATTCGGCAGAATTCAACAATTTATCAAATTTACAGCTGCGCTTATTAAATGTCAAATTATACATTAAACACTGCCAACATACGCTATTAATTAAATAAGAAAAATAAAGCTGCTAATATTTATAATTAACTTTTGTTATTAACAGGCTTTCAAGAAACTGTATTTTGAAGCAGCAGACGATTATGAATTATTGTCAACAATCTTTTTAATTAAGCGGAGAAAATCATTAGCTAGGTTTTTGTACAAAAATTTTTCTACAAAAAAAACTAAAAGCTATGGAATCTCTAAATTAATTAAAAAAAACATGTATTTTTCAAGTGTTAAATCACTAAACATTGGAAAGTTTTCAAACGGATGCCAAGTAGTTGGAATTGGCAGGAAACAGGAATATAAATATTGAAATGCATACAAATAAAAAATGACTGTGTTATTTATTTTTCATCTCAGGTAAAACGAATTTGAAGAAATTGTATCACTTATCTGAAATAAGTTTTCACAGGATTCTTGGATAATCAAATTACTTTAACTGAAAATTTAAAAGTCTGAGAATTTCCGCACTGTAAACGCATCATGTATACGAATAGCGAGAGGTATACCTAAATGTAAAATGTCACATCTGTTATCTAATTGAGTATTTAAATTTCAGACAATTAAAAATTGAAATAAAATGGAGGAAATACTTTAATTACATCGATTAGTCTACAAATTCCCGGATTTTAAAACACGACCAACGTCAGCATTCTGTTAAATAAAATCTCACTCATGTGTGACGCGAAATAACAAATTGGATCATCTCTTAATCCTTAATTTACATAGATTTAACAAAAAGCAAATAAGCTTAATATGATTATTGTGTTCTGCCCACATTGTCCGTGTTTAGGTACATACAAATGTCTCAATTTCCACGCCTTGTTGTTACTTTCTTAAATTTAATAACTGTTGAATTTTGTTTATATCTTGCAGTTCATGACAGAACTTAAATTTCATGCTCGATAAACTTTATTCGTGCAGCATCAAGTGCATTATGTGTATGAATATTTAACTCGCTTACATAGAGTAAGAGAAACTTAATTGAATTTCAGACAGAAATGCAGTTTGTAATCACAGAAAATGTCACAGGAAACAGAAATTTGATGAAACTTTCCTTGGAGATTTACCGCGATTTACGAGTAAGCTTTATTCAGACGAAGAGTGTCAACAAAAAGAAAACAACACCGCGAATAAATTAGCTGCCACATAATCTTAGCTCGCCGACGAAAAAACTTTTAAATGTGTTTTCCTCGAGCAGATATAAGAGACAGAAAAGGCATTGTAAACTTTGTCGTTCTCTCCACACGATGATTCTGTAAATTTTTTCTTTTGAGTTTATCCAAGCAAAAAGTTTAACTAGGGCATGTAAAATTCGAGTATCAAACTTTCCAATATCATGTTTTGGAATATAATTGCTGGTAAATTCTTGAAGGCTGGTAATAATAAGCCGTAAATTTCGTGGCGCGAGTTCAACCACCAGTTTGCAGAGTAATTGCTGCGCCATTACACGCGTTACCCTTCGTATATCCGTGGTGGCTGTCGCACCGTCACTCAATCACCGTCGGAAATCCTGAAAACCCTCCACTGCTGCCAGCCCGATCGAAATACAATACCAAATTACCCAAGCAGGACGATTCAGGACCAATCCTAAATTCCCGCACTCCTTCGGGGGATTTTCTACCTATATCACGACGAATCTTGTGCCTATATTTTTATTGCCACCATTATTAAATTTCTGACATTATTAGCAAACCCTTGAAATGGGTAAATTATTTTGGTCTAGCGATAAATCAATGATTTACACGCATCTTTTCCTACCCGTCGACGTTATATTTATGGCGCAATTCATCAACTTGTTTTAGGTTCCTGCAGCTTTATAAATTAGCAAATTGAATTACTGAATAAGGAAAAATGCACCTCGTAGGTCAACGGCCGCTGTCAAGTTGACCCGAAAGTCGCTCCTTGATAATGTCGAGAGCTTCTTATGCTAGCTTTGCATACTAGCACAGGCAATATGTCGAGGGTTGTAGGAAAAACCAGTTCTCAGTGCGGACAATTTCCACAACAACTCGAAAAAATTTTTAAAAAAATGGTAGCAGAAGACAAACAAAATACTGAGCTTTTTTTTGAAATATAATCTTTTAGAAAACTTACATTATTTTGTACTTTGTTATCATTGTAAAAATTTTTATTTGTTTATTTTAGGTTATGTAGGTACCTGCGAAAAAAAATTAAGTAAATGCAATCTATTAATTCAACTAAAATACGAGTGTCTAATATTCTTGTTAATTTTAAACTTTGTTTAGCAAATTCAGTTTTTTACTCATTTAAAACTGTGCACAAAACAGCCTCAAAAGCTCCATCATATCGGCTTGGCGCTTTGAAATTGTCAATTGACATTATAGCTTGTCGCACCATTCTCTGCGCATCTCGGAGCTTTTCCAGGGTGTCGACCCTACGATATGCACATAAAAAAATATAATTCCTACAGAATTCGTATTATATTCTTCTAATGGGCTTTTTATTTATAATATACGTGTGTATGTCCTCCCACACAGAATGACTCGTCGCACTGAACTTGTTGTCATAATATAAAAATCCGGTCACTGTTATTACACTGCAAGTAAATCGTTTTTGAAAATTTATGCGCTCGGAGTTCTTCTATCGATTTCTGTGAAGTTTATTGTCACAAGCCACATCCAATATACTCACAGGAAAACAATCTTTTGCAATAAGTGCAAAGAAACAAAGAAATGGTAATATGCGAAAAAGCTTGAAGATATTATCATATTTTATTTACGTTTCCTTGACATTGTTTATTATTCTGCGATTAGCAAGTCATATTCAGAGTTTTCGTTTTATGAGTCAAGTCGTTAAACAACTATAACAGTGTCAACGTACGTGATTAATTAAAGAAGTTAATATTACCAAATGCCTCATGCCCTCTTTTTCCAAATTTTCACACTGCTTACAAATACCTAGCGGGTTTAATGTAGTCCAAGTGAAGCTAGATTAGATTCTCCTGAATTTAGTATAGAACAAAGAGGTGATTACTAACTCTTCTGTGACATAAACTCATCGCAATTCACGTACAAAAGAATAATTTAATTTTGCCGAAACCTTGACTAAATGTAGTCTCCAGCATTTAGTATGTATTCTTTCTTTAATTGCAAAAAAACAGCCTTCAATGTATAATTGATATTTGCAAGATAAATTATTTTTTATTCCGCTACTTATGAGAGCATTATTCAGATGTAAAATTTGAATAATTTTATCCTTTCGTTAATATTTGATGAACTATTTTCCATAGCTAATTATTCGAAAAGACTGACGACAATAGTCTCGTTTGTGAATATCAACTTCAATCCATACAGAAGCGAAGCAAATTTGTATTTTATCAAAGTGAACTCAATTTTCTTAATGCGCTCGATATGCTTATCAATCATTTCTACGAAAAGAAATCCACATATGAGAGGAGCAATACAGTAAAGCTTTCTAGCTATCAGATTTAGACTAAAAAAGAGAACAACCTTTCCATCAGATAAAAGAACCCGAACACAATAGGTGATAATCCATAATCAAATAAATTGAATTGGAAAATGTAACATAAAAGAAACTGTTACTAAATTAAACCGTCAGCTAAATGAAATAAAACTAACCTTCAGTCGAGACGACTTTCGACCTAACAAGATCAGCTTTATTTGCGACTAGAATGACGGCCTTTGTGCTGATGGTGTCCAGTGTCCATAAAGTCTGCAGGATTTTTTCCGCACAAGCAAGACTCGAGCGGTCTGCACTTGAATATACCACACAGTATGCGTGAGGATCCGTGTATTTATTTATACAACTGTCCGGCTGGAAAATCGGAAAAACTTTATTTTTGAACGTGACTTTTTTATGGAAACTTACCGATAAGTCAGCTGTCGCAAAATCTATAAAAGTAAGTTCGGATTCCTCACCGGCCAACAGAACGGACACAGATTTTTCGCCGCTTTCGTCATCTGGAACAAACAGACAATTTGTCAAAGGAATCGCTCATGTGGAGCTTTCAGGTAGATATAAGCTGGACCTAAATATAGGAATACTTTACAGTTTTTACCAAATGGACAAGCACAATAGTATAGAAGCTACCTACTGATAATTGAAACAATACGTGACTTACAAGGTGTGTTAGGGCAGGCAATCAAGAAATACGATAAATCGTTTAAATAATTCTAATTCAAAAGCAAAAAGATATCTCTGTTTCTGTTACTATACAGAAAAGATGTCATAAAATATTTACAAACCGCAAAATTAAAAACAAAATTTTTACAAACAAGTAATCAGGAATAGTTTTTAAATAAATATTTTTTCTTCTACAGCAGCCAGCAAATTTACTTTTATCTTTTAACAATTTATTTTTCAATTACTTTATCTACCCAGGTTGATTCAAAAGTCCCAAATCATCTCTTGGGTGGTGATAAAGGATATTCATCTGAGTAAAAGTTTTCATGACAAAAAATTGTTTGAGTCTTTTTTTAAGAAGATATAGCTCTTTAAGAGTTGATTTTAAGTTCAGATCATGTGTTTTTGATTTTAGTTAGCGGAAACGGCAGATCTTGCAACATTAAATAGATACCTACTGAAAAAATCACCAATTTGTCTTTTATGGTATACAAAACGTTCAACAAATTAACAAATTCAACAATATCATGCCTACATGATAATATGGAAATTGATATTTCTGTTTTTTTCTCAAAAAAATTGCTCTAAAAAATCTGCATTCATTTTTATGCTTAGCTGAAGGTTTATCATCATTCAAAAGTTGGTTCCACACTTTTGAATCACTCTGTATATATCTTCACCAATTTGATGTTAAAATAATGTCAATCACCGCGGAATTCGTGTTTGAAGTTTGATTATTCCAAGATCATTTGTCACCAGTGGATGAATATTGCAAATATGAAATTCTTTCACTATTGTAAAATGCATTAGTTAATGCCTAATAGATTTTAAAAATATTCTAAAGCATTTTTCTATAACCACATAAAGATTAAAATTCAGTATTGCCACCTAGTGATTACTGATCACCAGGTAATGTCATCATAGTTTTTTTAACCTATTCAAACTACTCATGGGATACGAAAGTAGAAACAAAGATTTCACCAAAATTTGTGCAATTTTCTTATCACAATTAGTTTTACTATGTCAGCAAGTAACGAACGCACAATACAATATCCAGTCACAGCATCTATACTCGTAAAGCCTCCCGATCTCTTCCTTTATTTAGACTAATCTGCCAAAAGTAACAAGAGTACGATAGAGAAGTTTTGATTGTGCAACCACCACTCGTGTTACGTTCCTTTCTCATTTAAGAAAAAAATATTGCTGTTCTTTGCAAAGGCAGTTTCCTAAAGTAGGGGCAATTTTCATCAGAGAAGTGAATTCCATCTGGCTATTATGCTCCATGGAATGGGAAACTCTGCGATAATTATTGTCTTGCTTACCGAACAGTCCGTATTCGGGAGTAGCGTGTTCACAAGGAACAATAGTCACGAAAAGCAACACTGCTATATCGCTTTTTATCACGATCAGCAACTGAGATAACCTGGCGTGAATAAATCCCAGATGTCTGATATAAAGGAAGAAGGGCTGCCTCGGCCTGTTATGAAGTTTGCACAAACATATTAAGTTTTCGTGGGTGAAGTATTACACGAAACCGGGCCACTTAATCAACGGGAATTTGTTACGTCGACAGCCTACCTATTTTTTGGTCTAATTGCGGGAAGTAGAGCAGAAAAAGCAAGGACTACTAAGGATAGCATTTAATCTATTTAGATTGAGTTGTTCACCGGCCCCATGTCGTTTACGGAATCCCTTCAGCTAAATTCAAATCGTCTGTGGAATTACACCAGAAACAAGAGGTATTATGGATTAATTCATTTAAGGGTTTAACTGGAACACTCACTTATGTTGGAGAGTCAAAAATTGATTTCGAATTGTTCGAAGCCCGGAAAAATTTTGCCCGTAGAGAAACGCGTTCGGAGCCAATCGGTCGGTAAATATTTGACAGGGAATACGAGTTTCCTGTATAAACAATATAGAAACCAGCTTTTTAACTCTCCGTTTATGAAATGTTTCTGAAAATAACATCCCAAACAATATTTTTCTCAAAATATGGAAGATATTTGCGATTTTTGGATTCTGGCATTTTTTCGGTTTAGCATTCAATTCACATAAAGTTCTATTACGTTGTAGACATTTCGAGCTATAGAGTAAACCCCCATGTATTATCTGTCTCACACTCGAAAAAAAATGAAAAAGTTCTGTTATGAAATACGTGCTTCTGTTCCGAAAGCATGTAATTGGCAACAATGTCACAAATGAGCGAAATTAAATTCCTAGACGATCCCGTCTTAAAACACAGTCGTAAAATGTTGCAGATGGGTCCCGGCTTTTGGCCAATTTATATCTATAAATGCATTATTATAATCCTCTTTAGTTGAAGTTTTGTTCTGTACATTCACGAGTAATTTGCTGAATTGTATTCGAAATAATTTATCCCAAGTGCAAATGTAAACCCTTTTCCACCGACACGTGACAATTTTCTTGATGCCAACAAATGCGAGAAGAATACAACGTTACTCGTATAATTTAAGGAAAACTCTAATACGAGCAAAACTAAGCGTAGGATAATGGACCTTAATATTAAAACTCAGTTTACATGCAGGGGTGTGAGCCTATTCTTGATATTGGCATGCTTTGTCTCAAATAGAGTGTGTTTCTATTAAAAATGCAAACAAACTCATGATCATATTTCTCGTGGAAAAGAAATAACTCGCGCAAACTCCCTCAAAAGACATCAAAAGAACACATGAATTTTCTTTTCAGCTCGACTAACACGCCTCTTTGTCACCATTTTTTCACTGCACACAAAAGCCTACCGTGCATGCAAAATTTAATTTAGCCAATTATGTATACGTTCGTTCAATTTCATTTCATACGTTGACCATCATGAACGGAGACTGCGGGTTAATGGCTTTTGAAAATAATGTGAATTTAAATATAACGAGCTTAATGCTCGCTTGCATTATACGAGGGATTTTCAAACTAATTTTAAAAATGACACTTTGATTACTTCTTCAATAACGCATCGGCTCCATTTTTATTGATGATGAAAATTTTTGTACTCTTTCAAACACGTGGCTGGAGGCTTGGCCCTGCAAACCAAGTATAATGATTCATTTCGTTATCATTCCAAAATAAGTGGTCTAATTTTCAATGCACATGAATGTTCCAAAGATCTAATAAATTCATCTCGGTAAAAGCTGCTCCCGTTTCAAAAGCTTTTTATCGACAATTTTCATATGAATTTTTACTTTAACATATTACGCACAAAAATAAACCGCACATTTCTAAATAAAATTTAATTTTACTTCATTATTGGAAAATAAATTTTTATGTGGTAATCGATATTTAACAGACCCCTAAATAAATGTCGGCCTCATATCAGATTAACCGAAGGTTAATTCACATTTTAGTAAAGTTGCTTAAAATAATTACTTATTAATTAATATGAATTAATTAGTATAAAATTCTATTAATATAAAAAAATTCTTATTAAAATCAAATATCAAATTTTAAAACAATATTTTATCTTGTAAACAAAAGACATATAGGAATTCTAATATAAACAAGCTGATTCAAAAGCACTAGGTATACCATATCACTCGAGTGGTTGTATGTATTAACTATTTTTGAGAACATAGATACAACTTAAATTTTAATTTAACAATAATGAAGGAAGGTAATTTTAAATTTTATTTGTAAGAAACATTGAAACATAAATATACTTGTAGAATAATAAAAATAAACATAATCTAAAAAATTGTAACTAAAACGTGGAAAAACTGTACCCAATATTAAAATTATGTGGAGACACGCAACTCTTTTAAATTACTGTGAATAGCTAATAAAAACTGTTTACAAGTTAGGAGTATTAAACAACTAATTGAATACATATTTGCAAGTCTCGACTAATTATTTATGACAAATCAGCAAATAACGGTAAATTAAACAAAGGTAAAATCAACCATACAGAAACTTATCTTTGCATAATTTATCAAAAGTTAAATACAAATTAAACATTACAATATTTACTCAAACTTATTAAATTCGTGTGCTTTATTATAGTTCTTATCAAGCATGTCTTGTTGTTTATTTTTTAATTAAAACTTTCATTTCGTAAAATACAAGGTTTAAAACAATTGTTAAAAACCGCATGCTAACTGGCACAGCGACTTTTTACAAAATTAAAACTTTTGTCTTTACACAATGTCTTAATAACTTTATTTTTCCATAAATTTTTGTCTGATAAGTGAAAAAGTATTGTGTAAAGTTATAAAAAAATAATCCACATTAAAAAAACTTAATATTTTAACAAACATTTTGCCAAAGATAGTTGCTTCATAAGTCTTGTGTTTGGTTTTAAGACGTTAATTAATTTTGTGGCTTCTCACTCTGTATGCAAATTTAAAAGATTTAAGTAGAACACAAATAGAGGTGTGTATGTAGAGGCGCTTTGCAGATGTTTTAACAAGTTTGATAATGACTTAGAATTTGGTTCAAATTTCCATTCTATTTTCTTGCGATTTTAATTAACTCTTGCGTCCAAAATCAACTATTGTCTGATGTTAAAATTGACTTTATATTAGTTTTAGTAGGAACGTTCCACAAATTCGGCCGACATGAGGTCTCCATTCAATCAAACCAGGATTTTTCGAAACACTAACGATGTCATGAATTTAAGATGCCAAATCAAATCAGTCCTCGAGCACGCCTCTGCTGATCGTTTCCGACTCGAATTAAAGAGAACTGTGGGCACAATCTGAACGCACTTGGGGGAATTAGCATGACAGAGGTTTTTAGTACCTACCCTGTTTGTCTACGTCACCAGAAACGAATTCGATCCTTAGACTAATCCCACCGCAGTTTTCGCTATCTGATAATTAAAACACAACTCAGTTAGCCCTTTGTTGAAACCGAATCCTCGATTCTCACTACTAGTTCTACAAAGGGGGGTGAAACAATTTCCAACACCTTGTTACACGCGAATTTGTTCAACTCGAGTTACAAAAATGTGGGGGTGTGAAAATGTGACCTAATTTTGCTTGATTCTTACCTATGCTAGTGTCATAAGCGTGAAGATACTCGGAAGTCATAAACTGGGAGACTAAAGAGGATTTGCCCACGGCTGGACCCCCCAACATCAGCACCTTGTATGGGGTGGGACCAGGGGCGCTGGTGGACGACTCCCGTGAGGACGCCAGGCTGCAGGAAGCGGACGTGCGTGCCGATCCAGCCGTTGACACCGCTCCCGGAAGTTGCTCTGTGCTGAAAAGTTAAAAAATTATCGCTAAATTAATTTAAAAACAATATAGACAAAAGATCTATTGTTAAAAGATTAACGAAGGAAATTAGTGGCGATAGTGGCGCTATTCTCTTCAGTCCTCGGTAATAAAGTCTAATAAAGATCTATAATAATAAAACAGTATGTAATGCGCTATTTTATGGAGCACTTATTCTCGTTTTTATGAATTTCTTTGACGAGCCAGAAATACAACGTAATTTAGGTCCTCATTTCAGGGGGTTTGGGTTTGACTCTGAAAACTTAATATAATGACACAGTCATTTCTTTTATTAACGTTGTTCTTCAAACTAAATCGATATAAACAATCGATATCGATATAACAATTGTACAAAAAGCAGCAACTTAACCAAATTCTACTATTGCATTTATTTTGATAATTAATTACGGCCGCCCACGTTTGTCACTTACAAGTACAATTTGAAACTCAATAGATCTTTCAACATAACTTAAAATTTCAGTTAGCTAAACAATCCGAAACACTACTACTACATTTCAATTTTTATATAATATCACCTCCTACTCCTCTTTACTTCTCGTATGTTAAATTATGATTCTAATAAAATTATTTTCACAATGAACTGGAAAAACCTGAACACAAATTCTAAGAAAACATATTTTTAGAAGTGATCATTATTTTATTTAAAATTATATATATACCTAATTAGAAGGGATTGTGTTCTTTGACACTCTAATCTAGAAAAATTAAACATACTCGTATAATCAAACATTTTTTTACAAAATTTAACAAAGAAATATCATATTCCTGGAAATAAATAGATATTGGTGCCAGTTTCGCATTTCTCTTCAAGGCGGTTTCTACAGTTTCAACTAAATTGATTTTGCAATTAAGCTTAACACTGCTTTAAGCGCTGCGAAAGCTACTTTCTACTTATTTAATTCTGTACCCACATACTTTCCATACTTTCATTATAATAGATAATAAGTAATGAGCAAAGAAATAGTGTGTTTCTAAAAAACGCAGTATTTATACATAAAAAAAGAACTGACCAGACCACTAAATAAGACATAACAAAAACATAAGGTCTTCTCATTTGCATTTTTGAGTAGTTCATTTAATGTATTTTACAAATTGAACCTTGTACATCAAGCCCAGTAAAAAATATTTCAATTTTTTGCGTATTTGTATCTGAATCTCAATTTTAATATTTCGATGTATTTTAACGTTCGAAGGACCATCTCAGTTGATTCCTCTGAGGCCGTGCAATTCCATTCTCGCCCTGACTGGACTGTTTCCTTTTCACAACATCAAAAAAAAATTGGATGTCTACAAATTTTTGTTCCTCGAATTTTTTTTTCCCAGTTTCTTGAAATTTATATGATGCCATATAAAAATTAAAGGTTGACAAAGATTTCTACTAATTTTGAAATATTGTTTTATCAATATTTCAAACTATACAATAACCGGAAATAAAAAAAAAATATTTGAATGTCAAACCAAAAAATACAATATTTTGCAGCGGTCAGTTGCTCAGAAATTCGTTATTATCATTGCTGGCAGATTCTAGCAACATAAACGTTTATTTCAGCTTCAATAGAGAAATTAGCCAAACAACTAATTTTAAATTAACTCAAACCGCAGGCTATGCTGTATATGCGCAAAATTCCCATGTAATACTATTATCGTTGGGATATAATAAATGACAAAATATTTAATATCTCACATAATTAATCACACCACCGGACAGAATTTGCGACAATAATACCATGTATAGAATCAAATAATCTTCATTAACGTCATCTGTAATTCAGTGCATTACCCTTTACAGTTAAATTAACGTGAACAGCTACAACGCATACAGAATTCGGATCAATGGCTCCCGCATTACGACTAGCAACTCAATTAATCTGATATTTTTCAGACAAGACCCTTCACCGAATGGAATCCTTATTGTCTAAAGTTTATTGTCCTGTATGTGGCAGTTTTCGTATTTTCCTGAACTCTCGCGTGTTCACATTCCGTTTAGCGCACATAAAAAGCGTAAAATAACGTTTCGGTTTCGATAAATCGGCACTTATCAAAAACATCGCACGCCGAATTACACGAATGCTAATTAATTCATTGCGAGGGTACATAATTTTACTGAATTAGTTAATGATTCACAAACTGTTACAAAGTATGATAACGACGTTAGTGCGGGTATAAACTTCCCTGTTTACATAAACGTTTTACTTTCTGTAGCAGTCACGACATGTAAAAGAAAAAAGGCTGTAAAATAGAGAAGCCGGCAAACGGGAAACTGCAGTCGGTTTTTTGAAACATATTTCAACTTTGAGTTAAAAATGTTTACGACTGAAATAATACAGCGTTGGTTTGTGGGCTTTATGTCAAAGTTTCTGATCAAAAGAGAGTGCACGATATGGTAATAATATTCTGTAGCTGAACAAAAAATATCACTTTGTTCCGACACAATTATGCAATCTACAGAAAAGTAATTTTTAAACAGAATTTGGACTTATTTTAATACAACCGAAACCAAAATTCTATCGGATGTAATAAATAATAGTTGAAAAGAACACATTAGAATAAACAATACAAAATGTAATATGCATGCAATCTTTTTTCAATGTAAAATAGAGATTTAGGCACTGTTTAAATTTTTATTTTACTTCAAAAAAAAAATCCATTCACGGCACTATTGAACAAGTTTTGTTGCTTGATTTGCAGAAACTCTCAAATTAAACTGTTTTAATAGCATAGAAACATAAAACCCATTTTGTAAATTCAGTTTAGAAATATGTTGCTAACTTGCAACTTTCAAGTTTTCCCACATATTCAATCAAACTAAAATCACTTTAAAGAGAAGAATTTTGTTGCAAACGCTCGGAGGCAAATCCGCACCCTGCTAAAATTGCTGATATACGAGTATGTACTTCAATACACTTTTCCTGGAGTACTTTTTATTCTCATATACACCAACATATAAGAAAAAAAGTCATTCCGTTTGTATAAAAGCTTGTAAATATTGAAAATAGAAGATAAAACGCGATTAAGTTGAGTTTTTTTTTTAATGTGCATTGTTGGATTCATAAATATCGAGTTGAAACATAAATTTTACATTGTTCTAACCACAAATTTTAAAATTTTATTTTATTTTTTAACAGTAATTTAATTTTAAGTAAAATTAGATCAAAGATACATTACATTTTTCAGTATATACTTTAGTAATCAAAAGCCTAACATATTTATGAATGGATGCATACAAAAGTTTGTGTCCGGAAATTACATCACAAGCACTTGCATGTTAAAACTTACAACTTTCAAGTGAACAGTAGATACGTATGGATCTTCGAGCAAACTTTAGAAACCGCAATGCAGTTATGTTCCGAGGAATAATTTTTCAAAACTTAAAGTAGACCAAATGCCAAAATAAAAAAGAAAAATACTTTAAAGTTAATAAGCACCCGTTTTATAAAAAAATATACCTATTCTTCAATATTTTATTTTTAGTTTAGTTCGAAAATGTGTTAAAGACAGCACATTTAACTTTAACATCAGTTTCAGGCGTCAAAAAATGTGTTTTAAGTGCAACTTTTCAAATATCGGCTTGTAGTTATTTTTGCGGGCTTTTCTCAGCACGCCTTAATGTTTTTTTATTGGTTTTTGATAGCCCTTCTTGTAGCTTCGATCCACGGAATACATCAGATATCCGATACACATTGCTTTGTTCGATTTAATCAATATACAATCTCAAGTAGAGTTCTGCAAGCCATGCGTTTTCTCCGTGACAGCAGTAGGCTATCAACCTTAAGTGTCGTGCTAATACTGCCCCTATTTTAGGAAACGGTGGAAAAAGTAGCTTTAGTAAATCAGGAAACACCCACCCGGAGTTATAGTGGCGGAAATATTCCTCTCTATGACGCAACAGCATCGAATCGGTGAACTGAAAGTTCGAGGGTGTTCGAATGACGTTCAGAGAGGCTTGTTCTGACGTTATTTCGATCTTAGTATCGGTTTGAAATTAGTGCCCACTCGTCATAGTATCTCAACGAACATTTAACGACATCGTAAAAATCCTTCAACTATTAGACCAGAAATTTGTTTGCTAGCGGAAAGATGCCATAATCACAGAATTGAGAAACTTGTAAATAATACCTAAAATTATTTACACGTGAAATAGCAATATAATGCCAACGAAACGATCAAAAATTGGTAGAAGACGGAAATGAAAAGGCACTGAATGAGAAAAAAGCATGATGAAATTGTTGCGAGTAGAGAAAGAGGTAGAATTTCCGCAGGAAAATTCTTCTTTATCCTCACAAAGACTTTGTTGCCAGACATTGTCTTTAATCATGAAAAATTATTATTTATTGCCTTCTCAAACTCACTTAATGAGGCAACTCTGTGTAAGACGCATAATAAAAAATAATGTACATTGAAGTTTCCTTTAGAGAAGATATTAATTTCTTACTCTCAAAAATACTGTAATTGTGTATGAATTTAGCTTTAATAGTTTCCGGAAGAATTGGTACTGAACTATTTTTAATATTTTACAAAAAATCAATTACTAGTAATTGTTTTCCGTCAGTTGAGTGTGTTAGGTGGTGGTTAGCTAATAGTGAAGCACTGTGTTTGAAAGGACGATTGTATTTTCAAGACATGCGGTTTACCCTGGTTGTATAATTTGTTAACATTTGAGTTGTTTACTTAAAACTCTCGACTTGTTATTACAGAAAACTGGCAACAAAAATCGTCATTGGTTTTGACTTTTTGCTAAACTAAATTGAAGGAAGAGATCAAGTGAGAGTGACACTCTTGACGACTTCCGCATTAATCCTTTCCGTCAGTCAAAATCTGAGGTTGTGATGACTAAACTTTAATAAATCACAAATAGGTCTTCCATTATGTTTAGGTGTTGTGGATTTTCAGTGTCTTTGAGGTGGTGTTTCTACCCCACTTATCATCTCTTGCCAATGGCCGTGACTATTATTAACTCCCACGATAGATGACAGGTTAATATCGATTCTTAACTAAAATACCATCACTTCGAAAAGACAATAATCCATTGATGTTGACCTATTTAGAGGCATAGGTTAAATCAAGTGACATTTGCACAAGTTTGCACTCCAGATTTAAAAGCTCCGGTGAATAAACTCGCCTTGTCATTAGCGCGTCTGATATTTGCAGAAAAAAATATTTGTGAAAATTTAATAACACCGTAGAATATACAGCCTCTGCTTTATCAAAAACAACGTTTCTTATAGACACTATTTGGATTGTGTCACTTCAACACTAATTGAATCTTCTGTGAAGTATAGCTTTTAAAGAGAGGCTTTTACGGACAAAACTTCTAAACTTCAGCAATAAATTAGTTCACAGGCGATAAGTGAACTTCGAGATCGTATTTTATTGAAATTATTTTTCATAAAAGTTGATACTGAAGAAACAAGTCTCAGAAGCGTCTAAAAGCCCACAAAACGATTTTATCACCCACCGACGAAATATCACGACATACTAATCTCATTTCTAGGGCATTGCCTGCTATAGTACTTTGGGAAATCTTTAATTAAAGGTAGAATTTTTTTGAATATCAAATCGTCCTTTATTTCTGTGTAATTTTTTTTCTTAATTGTAGACGCAAAATAAATTTAGGGTTAGATTTTTTATAAAATACGTTTTACTAATTGTCTAATTGCCAAACTCGTTTATTTCCTTAATTGTAGACGCAAAATAAATTTAGGGTTAGATTTTTTATAAAATACGTTTTACTAATTGTCTAATTGCCAAACTCGTTTATTTCCTATTTTCGGAAAAAATAAGTTGTTTTTGCAAAAAATCTAAATTAGAATAGGTGTAAACAAACACACCTTCCTATGTAAAAATAAATTGACAGACCTCAACTTACACAAGTGACAGTTTTTGAATTACAGCCAAGTCAATATTGAGAACTTCCGCACTGTGTAATTAACTCTGTTAATAGTAAATTATCTGCTTACTACAAAGTTGCAAGCGTTTGATCTCCACCCAAATAACCAAATGCACAACTACTTGTCTATGTATGCACTATGCTACAAGCCAATTTATACGTTTTCTAGTTTCAAGTGTTTACTTTATAATTTACGGCCCCGAGAGACACATTTATGTGAAATAAATAATTCTGACTTCCTCTCTAATTAAAAGCTTTTTTATCGCTTATAAATTGTAGCCACTTGCTTTTCAAAGTTCTTATTTTCGCTTGTTAAATTTTAAAGCTTCATTCATTCAATTTTAACCGCTTCAGTAAGCTAGTGGGTGCAGGTCTGAAGAAAGTTCTTGATGAAAGTTTAAGATTTCTACATAAAGCTTTCAAAATTATTTACTTTTATAAGAAAAGAAGAATGCAGCTACACCCTCGACTAGTTACATTTCTACACGAATTGTTCATAATGCAGCTGAAATAAATTTCGTTTGTTATACGTGTTTATTCCAAAAAAATTGCATCTAATTAGTGTCAAGAATTCCTTTGATATTTGACTCAACTTCCTGCTACTAAGTTATATTAAAAATTATGTCAACAAAGTTTTCGTTTTGTTGAAAAAACAAATAGACTGCTTTATTTATTATAATTTCCGGTTTATAAATTTTTGATTGTGGGTGGATGGATGATGAGTGTTATGTGTCCATTTAGGATAATTACGGTGAAATTTTCCAGTAAAAAGGCCCCAGAGAAATAGAGTAGACATTCTATCGATCTGTCTGCAGTATGTGAAAACGCCCGAAGCGGTTTACTCTGCCACTTTATCATACACTTTGTCTATAAATATGTGTGTATATGAGCAGAGCCTAGGTTTGTGGTTTCTATAAATATGTCACAATCGATAAATTATGAATAAATGTTGTGAGTTTAGAACGTTTGCGAAAAAGTTTATTTGTTCCGCATGGAAGTTATGAGTAATTACTGGCTTAGGCTCGTTTTAAAACTGCCGTCTTAAAGAATTAATCGTCCTTTTTCTTACATTTGCGTAAATTGGTTTTATAATCGTTGCATAAACGTCCATCGTGAGAGGGTTAAAAGATTGCTTGGAAAGTTTATGTTAAAAGTTTCTTTCTTAGGTGGAGTGAAAAGGTTATTTCGCAATGCAGATGGTGTCTGATCCAACCTTAATTTTTCAATGATATTAAAGTAAATTTCAAACGATTTTCGTCCTTTAGAAAGAATTAGATCCTTTACTCAAACCTCAAATCAAATATTTCCCCCTGTTTACAACAACTTCTAAAGGTTTGGCCAAAAGAATATCAACTGATATTGTGACCACAAGAATTTTTTACAAGGATAAATGTTTGGCAAATTGCAAACGTTGTCTTTTTTAAATCTTCCTTTGAAATGACACTAAATCTTTCTTTTTACTACTCAAAAGTTTACAGGTAAGAAGTGTAATTCAAATTTTAGTTAATTTTTGTGGTTACTCTTATCCTTTTTAATAATACGAATGTGCCACTAGATTTGTTGAAATTGTGTATTATCTGACTGTAGATTCAAAAAACTAGGAGTATTATTTATAGTTTTATAGATGCTAAAAAATTATACACTTTTAAGTTAATAAAATCTAAAAATTGACCCAATTTGAATTTTGTTCTGGTGCGCCAGAACTCGCGCCCCAGAGAAAAATGACGTATAAGGTAAGATTACCAGGAACATGGAAAAAATGTTAAAAAATTTTATGTATAAAAATTTCGAAGTTATGAAGGTTTAAAGTTTGCACTTTGACTCTATTTATTTCTGTTGAAAAAATAATTTTCCAAGTTTTTTTGCTATAGGCTATTAAAAGAGGAAGCAAGAAAGCTGTATCCTAAATTGTAACTCTGTTCAATGTTATTTGTGGCTTTTATTGGCAAAATTTTTGTCCCTTTACTAAACAATTGTAAAAAAAACATATACAAGATCATCAGTATCATTAAATAGATATAAAAAATGTCAAATGTCAAAAAATAAATGTCAAAATTTTTTGACAGATAGAATTTTTTAAACATTTTTTTCATGTTCCTGGTATCTTACCTTACTTGAAAATTTTCTCTGGGGCGCGAGTTCTGGCGCACCTTGTATAAGTAGCAAATAAATACTAAAATTTAATATGTTTTAAACACACTTTTCATAAGAATACAATGTGTGTTAGTTGTATACCTATTTGATTTTAGTCTTTTGACTATATTCTATACAAAAATAAAAATGAACTCTCACTATACGCATATTATCTCACACTACTCGTAAAATTACGCTGAAAATAAATGCAAGTTAAATAATAGCTATTAAAACAAAAAGAGTTTTAAACTATAAAACCCGTGTTGTTTTCAAGATTTTTTTCAAGACTAATATTAGATCAAAAATAATAAATTCAGAAGTAATTATAAAGAAGTATGTCAAAATAAAAAATGTGGTATTTTATGTATGTACTTATAAAAAACGTTGTCATTGGCGACGTATTTTATAGATAGAGTGTATATTAACGGCAAAATAAGAAGTAAGCTTAAAAGATATTGATGTTAAAAAAATCTTAAAAACTACTATTACAAGTTTTCCAAGGCGTCTAAGTTACTACTGATTGCAGCGGAAGTGCAATTTAGAAACTTTATTAACAAGTGTACCATCAAGTTATTAAATTTTCTAATAAAAATATGAGAACTTAAGGTTCTCAACTTTGCTTTCTGTTCCGATACGCCGATTATTTAAAGCTTTATTGACATTTGCTGCAAAAAGTGCAATTTTCTTATGTTATTAAGAAGCACTTCATTGTAATTAGTAAATAATTTACTACTTGAAAACAAGTTCTTACAAGCTTTTAATTAGAACTTTGCTCGAGTTTCTGCCCAGTTTGCATCTTAAAGGATTAAGCGGGTAAGTTTTATGCGTGTCTTACCTCGAATTGCTGGAAGCGACCGAATTGTTGGACCTAGATCTGCGGCTTTTCAAACTGTCTCCCCTATTGACGACGCCTTTTCCAGTGATTGAGAAGTGTCGTAGGCGATAATACTCCTCTTCAACACCCGTGTTGGGCATCGACGCCACTCTAGACCTTTGCTGTGGCAAACAGAGATAATTCGGTCTACCAGAAGACCGGCCTGGAGTTTTTACGGATTGAGATCGATTGTGATGAGGGCTACCGTACCTGCAAAATTAAGACACCAACACCGACTTAATGATGAATCATTACACACAATTAACACAGCCGGATCGATATTGGCTTCTAAACTTTGTATAATTCATTTTTCTGGACGATAAGGCACGTCTGAAATCGATCCGAAAAAACGCTACTTTCCGCTGAATAACTCTCTGCAACGCTTTATTAAAGTTCATGTTTCTTATCTATGAAACCATTAACTCGACAGAATTTCTAAGTTTTAAACTTAATGATTTCAGCATCATCGAATATTGTTACAGGCTTTTCAGGTTAATCGTGGTCATAAAATACGGTATTAAATGTCTATTTTTGTCTCATTAGTATGCAAACCGGTGATTTCAAACAATGAAGTTAGAACAAAGATGATAATTTCTATAAATTTGACTCCAGTGAAATTTGAAAGAAATTTATTTTAGAGCTTTATAGTTATCGCTTTTTCACTACTTTTTATATTACTCCTCAATTCTGTTTAAAAACCGAGCTTCTTTCATCATTATTTTCGACAATAATTCTGTTTTATACTCATTTGATGATAAACAAAAATATTTTTTTAAGCACCAGGATTGCCACAAAAAGGTAACATGAAACACATTTAAAGAAAATTGAAAATTGATAGTCAAAAATCAAAAATAAAAAATATAAAAACCTGGACATAAATACAAATAAGATCAAAACATTTTGTTTATAAATAACTGATTGACTAGGAGTGTACTATAAATACAACTTTAACTTCAGTCACACAACAAACAATTTGCTTAGAAATTCATTATTGACAAAAATTGTTGAAAATATGTGTTTACTAATCTTTTACGAGATTAATAAATACATATTCTCGAAACAATAAAAAGATGTTAAATATTCAATGTCATTCCAAATTTTATACTAAAAATTTCAAATATTTACCAAAACATTTCAAAAGAGTTTGCTTGTTCGTGGATATTTTACAATCTTTAGTAGTCTTTTTGTTATAAATATTTATTTGACATTCAAATCATCTAAAAATTAATTTTAGTTTTGTTTACAGGAATGGAAATTTTTAGATATGCCAATGAAAATTTCTTTCATATTTCTGATTATTTTTCCAGTTTTATGCTTGTTGTTTTTTAGGAGTTATATCAAACTTTGGTAATTTTAGTCATAAATATTTAAAATATTATGTCCTTGAATTATCTATTTTATTCTCAACAATAGTATCCAGCTTTATAGTTATAGTACTGTTGAAATTTTAACCATTGCATTTGGTGAACTTAAATTCCAAACTGGTAACACCGTAAACCTGTTCCTTGTTTGTCTAAAACATTTATTGCATACTATAATAAATGAGGTCATTTAAAATTATTGTGTAGGTTAAAATTAGTGCAATTCATCTAAAAATAATACTACTAACGCGAAACAAAAATAGAACTTTTGATATCAACATTAGAATTATTTTTAACAAGCGAAAGCTATTTCAAAACGCGTTGACTACAAGAAACGAAAAAACAAGCATGCAATTTTAATAAATTACTATGACTTTATTGTTTATAAAATATCTTGGTCTACTTAAGGTAGACTAGAAGGTAACATGCACATATTTCTTTGAGAGACTCTCTCAAGCTATTTACCTCATCTCAAAATCGTGAATTTCTTCTAGTGTTAAATTATTAGCAACATCCAGTAGCTGCTTCATGTTTTCTTCTTTCTGTCTCTTGAAACTCAACTTATTTCCGGCACTTTCTACGTTCGACACAAATTCACTTCCGTTCTTCAGCAGGATCGTCGAGACATTCGAGTGATCCAAACTGAGTGACGGCTGTTGAACGACGATAGTAGCTTGCGGAGCTTTTCGGCCACCAAAGTGTACTGAATTTTCCAAAGGATTAGTAGTTACATTTATAGGTGATGTGGCAGATGCTTCTAGCTGAGCCCCCACTTCTCGTAAACATTTGTTGAGACACACGCTGCCGCGCTTTTCGCCGGAAACATGCAACGAATCTAGTTGGCAAGCATCCACCGCTTCGTTGAAGAAGTCTACGCGGAGGTCTGGTAAAGGCGGGGTCATTCGAGCCTTTTCTCGATACTTAGCAATATGCTTCTCGTCGTAGCTGAACTTTTCTCTTTGTTTGTTGGGCGATTGGTGGCGTCTACTGGCCTTTTTGTGCCGGTGTTTGGGCTTAGGGGAGTCGTCGTTGGTTTCCGGTGAAGAGTTCAAAGTTCTCTCGGCTCGACGCTTTGGAGAGGTTCTTTCAGGCTTCTCCTTGCCCTCCACCTCCAGTCTTTTCCTCACACTTCTTCTATGCTCCTTGGGACTTGTTTTATCTACCATCATCTTCTCCATGTCGTTTTGAGCCGCTCGGTAACTCCTCCTGAAGTCCTTCGGGTGTGGCTTCTCTTCAGGTGGATCAATTGACATCTTTTCAAAATCGTTCTGTGCCGCTTGTTTGTAACTATTCCGCCGGCGAGCTTCCATTTTCAAAGCTTCAATCTGCTCTTCCATCAGTTTCTCAACAGTTTTCTCCTGAAGGTTGCTGGTTTCTTGTGATTCAAAAACAAACTTGTTTTCTTCTTTTGATAGAACAGCTTTGGGTGTTTCAACATCAAAATTAAATCTGGTTTCTTGCTTAGCAGTGGGAGGTGTTTGTTGTTTTGCAGTAATTGGTGTTTTGGGTGATAAAGGAACTGGTTGGAGGATTTTGTTACCATCTGCATTTTCTGAATTAAAATAATCTATTGCTTCAGTGTGGTCCAAACTGTCCTCCGTTATGTCCCCATCAGTCGCTGTTACTGTTGTTACGATGGTATTAGAGCTGTCTGTGCTGGTATTAATGGTAGTCTCAGAAGCAGTACTTGAGCCCATTACTATTACTTTTGGTACAGGCTGTGATTTAAAAAAGTATTATTTGTTAGTAATTTTCTTATTTTGTCAATAAAACTAACTATAAAAACCTTTGTACTAAAAAAACTGTATTATAAACGAATAAGGTAATAACCTGCTTGGTGGAGTTTTTGGTTGCGTTCCTTCCAGTTTTAAAATGAAGGCGTCGGAGGGCAGAGGTGGCAGTGCTAATGAGGTCGTCGGGAGGTCGGGGAGATCTAGGGCCCGACTGCGAATTGACGGTCATTTTAGGGCGCGGGCTAGAAGGGCAGTGGCTGTTGCTCGTGCTGCCTGAGGAGCAGCTCTCGGAGGCTATGCACTGAAAATAAAAATCAGCATAGGTAAAACTGATATTGCAACCCATTTCAGAAGCAGATACATATTTATGTGACATAATAGGAAGCCAAGTCTGACTAAAGTAAAGTCAATCCCGTTAACATATTCGTATTGCTCGCAAAGATGCAGAGAGAATATCTTTCAAGATTTTGCAATTTTATTGCAAGGCGGGTTAGTATCTCCTTCCATAGAGAAAGTCTTTCAGCTTCGGTCTGGAAATTATTACTTTAAACGCCTCAATGAATTCCTGCAAACTTCCACCCAAACAAAATTTACGTTGATGCTCCCCGAGTTATACGTCGCCGTCGCTTTATTTGAATAACAGAATAATTCAGTTTTTATATCGAGAACCTGGAGTATGTCTTGAGACGGCTAGGAGCTGCTAATTGCATCATAAACATAATGCGAAGTTTAGTTATCCTTGCTCTTTGATAATTGGCCAATTTTCTTTACACACTTCTTTGACTCCGATGTTCGTACAAAGTAATAATTATATTTAACAAGCTGTAAGCAATTCTACTCTTCAAATATTCAATTCATTTTCTTGCAACAAGAAGGGTAAGAACGTCGAAAAAAAATGGTTTTGTGGTTCAAATGCTAAATAATGACTGTCACTGTTTAAATATATCACAGTTTGAGCGACAAGCATTATTTTTACATCAACTCATTTCTAGTTTATTTAGATACAATTTGACACCACATGGGGAGTTTTGAATCCATGCCAGGTCTTTGATAGTAGTGGTTGATATTTAAGGATGCTTTTTTACTTTTGAAATCATGTTAAATTGCACGTCGTAAAGACAGACATAAATTCTAATTCCTTCATTCGAGTACCAGAATGTAGGTATGAGATAAAAAATGCACAAATGTTTAAGAAATACACAGGAAATTTAAAATAAAAAGTCAAAACAACTTGTTTTACAGTTAACTAAATTACTTCCGAGAAAACAATTCCATTTCGTGTTTTAAACTTTTAATTTCTATAAATTAACTTATTCATCAAAATACTTCAAAGGTTGAAACCAGTTTTAATTTAAATGTGTTTCTTTGATTTACAGAAACTTTTAATTGTAATTTTACACTGTTTCACTTATTTATTCTTCAAATTAAACAGATCGATAAACCCAACCCATCTGAAAAATATTATCTTTGTTTTTAAATTTTTTATATACTCGTATATGTATTGTTTTAAGTTAGTTAAGCACTTTCCATTTTATTTTAATTTAGTTGCAATTTGAATCAACATTGTAATTTTTGTTGATCTTTCTCTGCTTCCTTTCTTTTAATATCCTCATTTTCTTCCGTCTGAGCTTTTAAAGCTCCACTGAGTCTAAACCTATGTTTTCTACAAATCCTAAATTAAAGTTTTAACTGAACAAATTAGGTATGTTTTTAGTCAAGTAATCAATTATTCATACTGTTTTATTTATTAAACTTTTTGTTTATAAAAAAGTTGTGCACTTTGAATTCAAGATACGAGCAGATAGATACTTCAGAGAAGAAACATATTTATAGAAACTTACGACGCATAAAATTCGGGGAAATTTATTAATTTAAACTTCAGTTACATAAATATACGTGTACTTTTTTTTGTAATAAAATCCATCTCTATTTTTGCCGACCATGCAATAGCAGTCTGTGATACACACCTTGATTTAATTAGCTTTCTTTTAAATTCAGTGAATTTCCGACTGTATTTAATTTAGTACTTTACAGAATTTTTAGTAGAGTAAGCGGATTTTAAAAGCGCCGAGTAAGAAAACAGATATAAAAAATAATACAATGGTTACAATTTATTCAAGTAGCGAAAACGACGAAGGAAAACTCGTTTATTAAAACGATTCAATTGGCCAAGCTTGCGTTTAAATTAATACGAATTACATGTTAATAGCAGGGTCGAAAGTTTGAGTAGTCCTCGACTCGATAAAATTTCCTGTTTCGTTACAATAAATCGCAAAATTTTGTAAAGCTTTCTGAAGTTTAAAACGATTATTTCGACCCAACAACTCTCCATGCCACAAATATTTTACTCGTAAAATGTAATTTTGTATCGTTCCTCATGAACGACTTCTTCAGCTTTTACAGAAACTATCTCATTTCAAACATATTATGGATTAATGACATTAGGCCGCAAATTTTACAACGTATTATTAGGTACTGCTGTTGTTGTGGCTTTAAACTTTAAACCCGAAACCTTCAAACACGAAATATTTTAGCTGAAAGTTTTCTTGTTCTATTGATAGTAAAATTTTTTGCTACGATACTGTAAATAGAATAATTAAAGTTCGTTTAAAAGGATTATAAATTTTGTCGCAACATTCAGTTGGTATTGTCACAAAAACAGTGTAAAAGGTATTTTGTGACTGAATTATTGATATTGGACCCACTTCTGTTGCTATCTAAGAAGAGAAATTTTTTATTTTATTATCAAGTTTAAAGCAAATCGATTTGAGTTCGAGCATTCACAGTAGAAGTATCGTGATCTGCATTCAAATGAACTAATTCAGTAAGACCAAAACGGTGTTTAGTCCAGGTTTGCAAACTTAGGATTCAATTATCTGACCCAACTGAAATATTTAAGTCAGCAAACGGTAGCTCATCGATTTAAATTGATTCATTTAGATACCTTAGTTAAAAGTTTCTGCCAATTTTCCGCCCCGCTTACTAATTTATTCATAAAATTTTCATGTAGTATGCTATTTTAACTCCCCAGGTAAATGAAAGAAATAATTAGAAAATCCAATTAAACTCAAAATTACTTTCATTTAGTATCTTATAAATAAACTACAGGGATTAAAGAACAGTTTGATTAGTCTTTTAAAAGGTATCCATAGAAGGTATCAAATACTGACAAATAATTATTTTGATATTTCAACCAGTAAATACAATATTTTGTAAATAGCAACGCAAGAAATAGACACTTTTAAAAGATAACTACATAATAACAGTTGCACTTCTGGTTCATTTCTCTAAAAAAAATGGCATAATTTTTGCAGTTCTGAGATATTTGAAAAATGTTTAATTGTGTTTAATACAACATACTGCATCCCCAGCACTGAAATTAAAACTAAAAAGTTCCTGGAAAATCTACACTCGATTGTTTGTGTTTCTAAATTTCAGAAAACGAGCCAAAATCTATTTGTTTCGTTGCCATCTCAAATAAGTCCATTTCCTCAAAATCCATAAACCTGTCTGCAGTCGTGCAAAACAAGACAACTTGTTCCGAGCTTGGTAACCTTTATGATTTTTATTACGGAAAAAACTCTTACAATTAAAAAACTAAAGAGCTTTTCTCTATGTCTGAAGTTTTCGAGTACGATGTGATCAAAGTTGGGTTTTAGTTCAGACTGCATATAAACACTGCCATTACAACTTTACAATCTCTTTTGCACCAGAAAAAAATATAATTCATTTCAAACTTTGTATTAACTAAAAATTTAAGAATACACACCTTAACGAGTTGACTAATTTTTGGCCAATAATTGGCTCTAATAAAGTGATAAATTACTTTCATTTCAGTTATATTGTTTACGAGTTATTTATGTTTCAAATATAACGAGCGAAATAGGGATAATAGGCTGACAATGTTAGCCGTTTAAACAATGAAAATACTGACAGTAATACCTTGAATAAACGAACAATGTTTCAGTTCTATGCTCATTTATTCACCAGCAAACTGATGTACGGTATTTAGGTAAGCTTTGTTTACATAAAGATAAGGATAATACACTTTTTAAAACAAAGCCCCAAACATCAATAAAAGCTTTAAAAAGTTATTTGGCCAATCACTTCCCAAGTTAATAACATTGCTATCACAATCATTTGTATTTTAAATTATTATTACCAATTTTTGTCAGTTTGTATTTCAGAATTTTATTCCGCCCATAAATTTAATAAAACTCAATGTTAAATCATCATTTTATCCAATGCAATGAAAATTGTTTATAGAAACACATTTAAATAGCAATTATGTTTTGGTAAAGTAATAACAATGACATTTTGACTGATACATTTGGTGCAAATACACACACAAAAAAAAACAATTATGATACAAAATAATATGAGGACTTTTATTCGGTTTCATAATATTATTTTTGTGTTTAATTTGTTTTTTATCAGTTTTAATGCCCTTAATAATTATTAATTAGAACTTGTTTTACGACTAGGTTTAATAACCACAGATATTTATTTCTTTAATTTTTTCAGAAAATTGTATTAGGCAAAACCGGCAATGTTCTAAAATTATACCACATTGTGAAACAAAATTAGGTTTCATATTAACACCTGCAAAACTACAACAATCAAATTCGTAAGCACTTTTAAGAAAAACATAGTGTCATACATATATTTATTTGAATTGTTGCCAAATTACAAAAAACAAGTGTTTTGGTAAGCGCCATTTGGAGAAAATGAGGTAAATCTGATAGAACAAACTGCAAACAAATACGCGGAACCAAAAATAAAGCAAAAATATGCCAGTTACATTTTGACCCATACCACAAAATCACCGTCGTTCTCAGAAACCATACCACAATGCTCAAACCTAATGTCAGTTTTATCTTACTTGTGTAAATATTATCAACTATTGACACAAATTGCAACATTTTTTTTATTTATAAATACCTACTTCTAAGAAAAAATGCGAAAACTGGCACATACGTTATTTATTTCCCTCGGCGCAGTTTAAAAAATATTGCATGTATATATTTTCGTAAATATTTGTTTTTATTTTGCAAATCTATTTTGCATAATGTGTTTTGCGTACTTCAACAATAATTTACATTTAATGAAAATAACAAATTTTTGCATTGATTACAACATTTGTATGCTTTTGTGTGCTTATGAATCCTTAATTACAAAACGTTTTATTTATTTAATATTTGTCTGTTATCAAATCATTACACACTACCAATATTTAGAGAAAAACGACAATTAGGTATTTTTCCAACTTTATTTGATTTTTGCCTTTCAGGGTTTATTGCA